ATAACTTTCTTATGAATACAAACACTTTCTTGACATGTAACCCAGTCATGCAACTCTTGTTTGGAATTTTCTTTCACCCATTTGAAATTAACTTTATGTTCACCCTAAAATCTGTGCTTGTATGTTCACAATAGCTTTTGTCATAATTTCCAAAAGCTGGAGATAATCCAAATATACTTTAAAAAAGCAAATTGACATATTGTCCATCCATACTATGGAATGTTACTCAGCACTAAAAAAGATTATCTACTGTAACAAGTAACATCACAGCTGCATCACAAATGCATTATCAAAAGGGAGACAGTCAGAGTCAAAAGTCTACATGTGATATAATTTCATTTATATAATATTTTGCAATAGACAAATATACAAAGACAGAAATCCGATCAGTGGTTGCCCTTGGAGTTTATCCAAAAAAGTAGATTATCCACAAAGGGGCACAAAGGTATATTTGGGGCTATGAAACATTTTTATGTTTTCACAGTGATGGTGTTTACATGATTGCATACATTATTCAAAACTCATAAAACTGAGTACAAAAAAGGAGAATCTTGCTGTATAATAATTATACTTCTAATAAAATGCAATATGAAAGAGAAATCTGTTTATTATTCATTAACATTAGCATAGTGTTTAGGCTCAAAAAATCAAATGCACAGCAAAGATTTTAGAGTCTTGGCTCTACATCAGTTTATATCATAAAGATTCAACGTTCTTTGATTAAAACATTCTCAGTTCTGGGTGCCTACTTTGAATCTTAAAAAGCTAAAGCCACCTAAACACGTTTATAATAATTATGAAGTTCAGAGAGGGGAGCACACCTCATCAACAAGGGGACCTGCACAATGAATATTTGTATACCTAACCCTTAACTGTACCCCACAATTTTAAAATAAAAAATATGTATTAAAAAAAGAAATAGATACCACTGTGAGTTGCTTGAAGACAAAATTCATTTGTTATTTATAAGAAGCATAGTACAAACTACACGTGTAAAGAATATTTCTGAAATGATCATATTAATAATCATCTCATGTGTTATACAGTAGGCTAGTAGTTGATACAATCAACCCCAAAATAACCATGTCTTAAACAATAAAATTTTATTTCTCATTTTCACAAAATTTCCATGTAGGTAACACCTGTGAAGTGGCCCTTCTGGGTATTTCACATCCAATCAGTGAGTCAGGACCTAAGCCTTCTCCACCAGGGACTCTACCACTCTCTGGGCCTCATCCCGTTCTGGGTTTCCAGGATCAGAATAAAATCAGAACAAGACAGTGAGCAATGGAGTTTGGTGTTTGGGAGGTGGCAACAGCCATGGAGGTGGCATATTTTCTGTGCATCCACATTCTAGTAGTTAGAACTTGGTCCCATGGCTACAACTGCCTGCAAAGTAGGTTCATTTCTAGCATAATTCTATACCAAGAAGAAGAGAAAATGAGTTCAATGAACAACAAGTCTGGCTCTGCCAAGAAGTGAACACTGATTCAATTAGGTCACAGTTGAGTCACGTGTTTATTTCAGACCTCTACAACGCTGGAGAAATATTTAGAGTATTCAGATACCATAGAAGAGAATTCTGGATAATAAGAAGTCTAGGATTCATGCTAATGAATAAGCATTTAGAAACATTGATGCTGATAGTTTAGTTTTCAGAATAACCTTGACTTTGGCAAAATTACATCCTTACATACACCTATGATTTCTCACCACTAAGCTTTACTTGATATTAATTCTGCTACCTATACAACTTTTCCCTCTAAAATCTCTCTATATGAAAAAAATCCGACCAATCCTTCTAGACACATTTATGCATCGTTAATCACTGGATTAGAAGAAAATCACTCCCATCTTGAAATTTTGTGTTTATTATCTTTATTATTTAATGTTTCAGAAGGCAAGGACTCAGAGGTAGACACTATCCACACACACCCTGCTGGCCACAGCCCCGTCCATCTCTCAGGAAGGTCAACAGCACCCAACCTGCTCCACTCCTCATGCAGGAGCTGAGGCCTGGGACCTGGAGACTGTCTTCTCTACCTCAATACCACACATTTCACTCCTAACTTCCAGTCACACTGTCTGCAGAAGGCCACCCAGTGTCATTTCATGAGGACCCAGTAGGAGAATGTGGTCTTCAGTAACAACAGATCAGACCACAGAATTTGATCCAGAATGGAGATCCAGTTTCCTTCTAATTTGGTTGTTCTTGATGCAAGAGACAGGTAGTGCAAAGAATAGGATAAAGTGTAGGAAGGATACAGGTTATATTTCATAGACCTCATAGTAAGACTGTGATCTTTGCAGCCCATGCTTGATAAGAGTTTCATGCTGCTGGGCTCGGTGGCTCAGCCTGTAATACCATGCCTTGGGAGGCAGAAGGATCACCGGAGCCCAGCAGGTCGAAGCTGCGGTGGCCGGGAGCGGCCACTGCACTCCAGTCTGGGTGACAGAGTGAGACTCCAACTCAAAAAAAAAAAGAGTTTCATACCAATCTTCTCAACATTGCACCATATACAGCAATAACTTCTCTAATCAGTGAACTACGTCATCAAGGCCTAATGTCTGGGTACCCAGACTTAAAATTTTTATTTTGATGATAATGATGCAATCTCCCCTTTTATCTGACCTGTTTTCTATATTGATTTGTCTCTATGCTCAAACCCTGTAGTCCTCAGAACATTGTTACACCCTGAGTTTAGATTCCTCTAATGCCTCAATGCTATTATTGGAGCAGCCAATTAGACTGATTTTTGCTTCTAAGCTTTTCTTCCTCTATCTCATTTGCCATACCCCTGCTTTTAAAAGCCTTTTCTATCTGGAACACTTGCAATATTGCTTGCAGAGTTATATTTCAAAATTTAAAAAAAATTTTTTTTTGCCATACCCCTGCTTTTAAAAGCCTTTTCTATCTGGAACACTTGCAATATTTCTTTGTAAGTACATCATCACCCACCATCCCTGCTGTGCCATCATGTTCTTGATTGTCAGAACTGTATCCTATTGACTACTTAGTCTCCAGAACCATTCATTGTCACTGACAGTGGTTGATAAAGCTTGAATTAGCACCAATAGATTTGGACTGCGAGCATTGACATCTTTTAGGATGCCTGTCTATGTCACAAAATTTAAAACAGAATTACAATTAAGGTAAAATTAAAATGTCAAAAGTGCTTTGAATTACCTTCATCTTTAACTTTGATTAAAAATGGAGGTTCTGTGACAATGTGATTACCAATGGAAGAACTATAAAGTAACTGACTTAAGAGAAAACAGGATTAGGATTTCTTTAAGGGATTATAAAGACCAGTTATATTATTCTTTTTCTTCTTCACTTACTTACTTTACACATTTATTTCTTCTTCTTCTTTTGAATTATTGAAGAATTTTAGCAGATGTGAGTTCCAATTGCAAGCCTAGATGAGTATATTTAACTAAGGCCCTGTTTTTGTAATGTGTAACATTTTCACATTAAGGGTAACATTGACTTGAGGGCAACATTTTCATAGCTTACTCATCTACTCTATTCAAATCTATATTAAAATTTTCTTGTCTTTCATTGACTTTGACTGAGGAATCTGTTCATTCTTTGTTTTGGGGGTTTGTTTGTTTGTTTGTTTGTTTGTTTTTTGAGTAGGAGTCTCACTCTGTCGCCCAGGTTGGAGCGCAGTGGCAGGCTCATGGGCACCACAGCCTCAACCTGCTAGGCTCAGGCGATCCTTCCACCTCAGTCTTCCAAGAAACTGGAACCATAGGCATGTGCCACCACGCCCACCTAATTTTTTTTAAATTTATTGAAGACACAAAGTCTTGCCAAGATGCCCAGGCTGGTCTCAAACTATGTGTTCGACATTTTATACATTTTCTCATAAGGTGGGTGCCAATTTTTTTCTGAAGATTCAGAGAAAGAGTTTGTGAACTTTTTAGAAAATAGACAATCTTAACATTGCCAATGATACTCCTTATATATGGAGTAAAGTTCCTCTCAATATATTTAAATATTGTAAAGTAATGCCTGAAACTTAACTTCTTGGCTAATAATATTCTTTACAACCCTTTCAAGGTAAAAAAAAGTCTTTAGCTAATATTTCTTCAATGAATTTCCTTCAGCAGTCAGGGAAAGATGTTATGTTCACATTTTGTAGGTTCTGCACAAAAACTTTTTTTTTTTTAATTTTAATTTTTTTTTGAGTTGGAGTCTCACTCTGTCGCCCAGACTGGAGTGCAGTGGCTGCTCCCGGTCACCGCAGCCTTGACCTGCTGGGCTCCAGCAATCTTCCGCCTCAGCCTTTCAAGTAGCTGGAACTAAAGGCGCGAGCTACCATGCCCGGCTAATTTTTTTTTTTTTTGATTTATTGCGGAGATGAGGTCTCGCCAAGTTGCCCAGGTGGGTCTCGAACCACAGGCTCAGGCAATCCACTCACGTCAGCCTCCCAAAGGCACGGGATTACAGGCTGAGCCACCGAGCCTGGCTACAAAAACATTTTAATTAGCCCTGACAACAATGTTCTTCTCAAAATGTTGACTCACACAACTACTGCATGTGGCTACATATACCACACAATATTTTAAGTGAGTCCGCAAGTGTTAAAATGCATTTGTTTCCGATGGAAATTGCATACGATTTTACAAAATGTAAATTATAAGAACCAGTGGTCCAAAGTGAGATCCATGAATAGGTTCATGATTTACAAACAAGATGACTAATCAAAAGCAAATAGTATTTTTTTCCAATTATTGAAAGGCTACAAGAGAAGAGATTAAGGAATGTGGAAAATACTATTGCAAGTGTACCTAACTCCACTGATCATGCTGCCATGACATAAAAATACTCTCACATCCTACATCTCACCCAGCTCAACACTCAGACTCCAACAACATCCCCAGTACAAGTTACATCATCCCTTTCCTAGGGCAATGCAGTTCATGCCTGTCATGTCTCAACTGGACAGTGAACACTGAAGCAAAGTTCTTCTCTAAGTGATGCTCATGAGTCATCAAGATGCCAGTTTTAATGTTAACCAGGAGAATTTCCCTAATAGTTTCTTCCAGGCTCCCTTCACCTCCTTATTTCTTAGACTGTAAATCACAGGGTTCAGCATGGGCATAATAATGGCATAGAACACAGAGATCAACTTCTCCTGAAGGATAGAAGGACCTGAGTGGGGCTGGATATAAGTAAAAATTGTCACGCCATAGCACAGGGCAACCACCGTGAGGTGAGAGGCACAGGTCTGGAAGGCTTTCCTCCTTCCCTCGCTGGACTGGATCTTTAGGATGGTGGAGATGATCTGGATGTAGGACAAAAGAACCAGGCAGAAGGGTGTCATCAGAAGGACAATGCTGGAGACCATGATGGCGACCTCATTGGAAGAAGTGTCCACACAAGCCAGCCTGATCACGGCTAGGATTTCACAGGATATATGATCAATATATTTGTTAGTGCACATGGGCAGCTGAAAAGTGATAGCAGTCTGCATGAGGGAGTTGATGGAGCCACTGACCCAGGATGTGATGGCTAACCTAGCACACAGTCCTCCATGCATAATGGCAGAGTATCTCAGGGGGTCACACACAGCCACATAACGGTCATAGGCCATCATTGCTAGCAAAACAAATTCAACTCCCCCCAAACCCAGGGAGAAAAATAGCTGGGCTGCACAGCTCAGGAATGGGATGACTTTATGTTCTGTAAGAAAATGTACCAGTAGCTGAGGTACTATGCTTGTGGCGTAGGAGACATCAACAAGAGAGAGGTTGGTGAGAAAAAAATACATGGGACTGTGGAGTTGGCTATCTAGTCTGATCAGAAGAATAATGAGGAAGTTCCCCAGCACGGTCACTAGGTACATGACCAAGAACAGGACAAAGAGAGAGACCTGAGTGTCCCAGTCACTGGACAGGCCAAGGAGAATAAATTCACTAATCCACGTCTGATTATCTGGATCCATCAAAAAATGTGAGGATTATTAATCTACAAAGAGATTTGGAAAAAAATTAGAAGTTGATGAAAAAGCATAAGAATAATTTTTTTTTGACATACTATATAGGTCAGTAATTCTTAGGCAAGGAGCTCAGTACATTTATGGCCAAGGTGATAGCCTTGCCCCAGTGTGAAGTAAATTTACTTTGTATCATAGAGACAGTCTGTTGGCTTTATGAGATACAATTTGGTGTCTGGTAGGTCCTAGAGACAGTACACTACAGTATCAAGAGATCCTCATCTTTACCAACTTACCTCAGATTCCAGGGCAAGGAGATAATGGTACATGACAGCGGCAGGTAAAATGATAAGCAATAACAAAAATCTGGAATTAGAGGAACTATGTTTAATACCTGATTTTATTAGGCAGCTTTATGATACTGGTTTAGTGATTACTATATATATATATGAACAATAATAATTCACAAGCATATTTAACCTCAAATGTGGATTACATATGGGGAAAATACTTTTTGAACTGTTACTGGTAGTAATATGGGTATTAGTAGCAGCATGACCTCTGTTAAAATAGTTAAAATTGCCAACATGATTTTCCTCTCACATCCCCTTCACAAATTTAAACTTAAAATTAAAGCAACAAGGCCAGGCTCAGTGGCTCAGTCTATAATCCCAGCACTTTGGGAAGTGGAGGCGAGTGGATTGCCTGAGCCCACAGGTTCGAAACCAGCCTGATCAACTGGTGAGATCTTGTCTCCACAATTAAAAAAAAAATTACTGGCTATGGTAGCGTGCACCTATAGTTCCGGCTACATGGAGGGTTGATGATGAATGATCTCCAGAGCCCAGCAGGTCGACCCTGGGGTGATAGTAAGTATGCCACTGTACTCCAGCTTGAGTGATGGAGTGAGGTTCCAACTCAAAAATAAAATAAAAACCAATAAAATAATATTACGTGAAACATGAATACTATGAAGTACCTAAACTTACTGTGAACTAGTATATCAGCTTATACAGTGTCTTTACACTAGGCCATGTAAAAGTAGAAAACTGGAGAGCTTTAATGTAAATAACATGAAAATTGCAGAAAAAGTCAGGGAAGAGGAACAAAGAGCAAGATCAAAATTCTCAGTTAAGATATTAACTTTATTGGAATGACTAAGTGGAGCAAATTAACATATGCATTACAACACATTCTTGTTATTTTGTAGTGAGAATGTTTAAATGCATACTATATATATGCATAATTTTTATTTGTCAAGGAAGCAAATGCATACATATATAAAAATTACCTTTTTTCAGCTCTGCATAAAACCTTTTCCATGTGCTTTCTTCCTTTCTCCAGTAATTATTAGTTACAACAAATATCAGTACTGAAATGTTCTCTCTGTGACAAAAAAACAGACCAAAAAATTAAGTGTTTTTAAATGTCATGCAACTCTTTACATGACAAAATTAGTTCATTTGAAAATTAAGTTTCAATCTATCATAATCTTTTTCTAAATAAAACAAATCTATCCATTGATTCCATGGAAAATTATTTTTATTGCAAAAATTGAATCTAAACTGTTACAAATTAAACATTATTTTTTAGCCTATTCTACCCACTGCTTCTTTTCCTATTTTTCATCTGACTGCTAACTAATAACATCTTTAGATGAAAATACACGTTATCCAAAAAAGAAGAAGAATGAAAAATGCACTGCATGCTACGTGATGTTAAAACCAGGAATATTCTTTATCTGGATTGGGTGGGTAAAATTTGGCTTTAGATGTTCCTGCTTCCCTTTCACCGAGTTTGTCTTCTAACCCTTCTTCTATGAGCCCATCAGCTTTGTGCCACTCTTTATAACTCTCTACATCGAGGCTTGCCTTCCAGCAGAGATAGCAACTATTCTAAACTTGCCTGTTTCTCTCCTCGTCTAAGGAAATAGCAGGAAAGTTGAAACGTAAATCAAGTTAAGCATATTACTAATGGCAATTCTTACATAGTGATTTATGCTAATATTTGTTGTTGTTAGAATTATTGAATCAGACATCGCCCATCTAGTCTGTTACAATTTACTTAAATGCTCAACAGTTGATCTTCCAGATGGGAAACTCATTCAGGTCAAGCTTCTTATAACTTTGCAGAATGCCTGAGAGGAAAGAGTTCAACCCTAAGTAAAAATATGATTTTTCACATAAAGTACTTTTGAGCTTTTTACCACGTGTTCCCCATATTCCAGCTCTAATAGAAATGATAAGACTGTGGGAGAAGTATTAAAAAAAAAAGATTAAAAGAACAGACCAACAGAAAATAATCAGCCAAAAACTGACAGAATATTTCACTCTGTGCCACATAGAGAGGACCATTAATTGCAGTGCTACAGAAATATTTTCAGATGCTTCTATTCACATTTTTCTTTTATTAGTTCCCTTTTACATTTGCATTTCATTGCTATTCAATGGATCAACGCTAAAAAATGTTCAATTTACTCTTGCAAGGAATCTTCATGGTGGTATAAATAAATTAGAAGTATAACTTTATACAGTCAAAAATTGTCATTAGAAATGCCACTTTTATTTAGAGGAAGATTCATCTGACCTGTGGCTGAACACTTGGTGTGGTTTACACTGAATGCATTCATCACGGGAAAGAGTATTTCCATCAACCAAATATTTGGACACAGAGAACCCCAGTACCTCTGGGTAGGAAATGTCCCAAATATGATTTTATATTCTGAAAAGACAATTAGTTTTCTTGACTTTAAGGTCTTATTATCTACTTCCTATTTTGATTTGCTTCCTGACTTTCCACATAATCTGAGTTCAATTGTTGAGATCCAGTTTTTCAAATATAATGCAATCCTGCAATTCATTTTTGAGGATGTATTTTATCATGGTTTCATTTGTAAACTCTCACCTTCTTTACATCTCTTGCCCTTTACATCTAATACTAAGGTTTTATTTTGCAACAAAGTGTCCGTAGTGCAATTCTACAGCACATTCTAGACTAAGCAGCCCTGAAAAGAAAGTCAAGATACCTCAGTGGTAGTCCCTGTTCACATGCTGATGGTGTATGAATTTGCTCAATCTATTTAATCATCTTATATTTAAAACTACTATTATCGAAAGGAAAATCAGAATACCCTTAGGGAAATAATTCAGGTGAGAGACTTTAAAACAATTGACAATTTATCTGGAAATGTAATATACATACCTGAAAATGCAATATGCCTATTACATGTTCATGAATATCAATCAATATTTAAATAGAAGTCTAATAGATCTGAGTTACCCGTTAAGTGTCTTTCCCAAAAATGATGCAAAATTTATCTGATGTGTATTTTTTAAAAATTTATAACCATTCTCTTTCTACAGCCCCTGTTTTACACTTTTTCTTTCTCTCTGCCAGTATCCGAGTTTGGAATTAAGAAGCCCAGTGAAAATGTACCTAAGCTCCACTTTCTGAAAACCAAAACTATTTTATTACATTTACTATAATGTTTAGGGTGAGAAGATTTCACCATTCATGGATCATATCCCCGATCAAAAATCCACAACAAATCACATCCGTACTGTTACTGCCCCTCTATAAACCTGGTTACATCTGTCCTCTGCTCGATTCTATTCAGAGCTCCCACAGTAATCAGCACCTGACAAAAGGGACTTGTGTACTTCTGTCTAGATTTAAGTTGTTTCTTTAATGAATTCTCTCTAACAAAGTGATGGATAATGGAATCTAAGAATACCAGACCCATTGTGCTCCAGGGCTCAGAAATCACCCGAGACTAGTTTAGATGGTGAGAGTCACAGCTTAGAGGAAGTACATAGGTGCCTTCAAATTGGCTCAACCATGGACTGGCAAAGTGTACTTGTGGCTGACATCACACAGGAGGTACAACAGATTTCCCTTAAGGGCTTCATGTATTAGCATGTTAATTGTCACCGCTTCCAGTTCTCCAGGGTAGGGTCTCCATGCTGCCCTTCCTTTCCCTGTGGAATGCAGTTCTTCTCAACTCCTCTCCACCTTCCAAAACTCCACTGAAACCTTATGTTATTCTAAACAGACATGGAAGCCAGCTTTGTGAAGTTTTCAGATGTTCTCCATAGCCTAAATCTGACTTTAACTTTTTAAAACCACTGTTCTAGTTAGCAGTATATGAGCCTGCATCCATGCCTGGTGAATCAAGCCAATTCTCATCTTTGGCTCTAGATGCCTCTCCATCTGTGACAAGAGAGTTGTGCGTCAAACCCCAATGTCTTCTGCAAGAGTATCTCTGCCTATTGCAAATGTTGATGGACTCCTGAGTATATTTTTGTTATGCTATAAGTTCCAATAATAATAGCATCAGAATTCTGTATTTTAAGATTTTAATTGATATGACTCCAAATAAGATATAGAGAGAGAATCTTATAATCTAGAGAGACAAAAAAGGAGAGAAAGTAAAAAGGGCAGCCAAAATCTTTACTACAGAATGGTTAACTTTCCTCTTTAAATGTGAATATCTATGAAGAAGTTTGATGTGATTATGAAAGAAGGAAGTCATATTGCCATTCTCTGACCTATTCTTTATGCCTCGAACACTTTTTAAGTGAATCATTTATCCATTAATCATTCATCTACCAAGTCAAATACCTAGTAATTACTCAGCACCACCATCTACTACTAACCCACTCATTTATGTAATTGTCTATCACCACCTCAATACTCACTTATTCATTTGCTCACTTGCTCCTCCACTTACTGGTGCATGTTATCATCCACATGCTAACTCATCTATTCCCCTAATATCCCTTAATTGATTACTAAATCTACTATACTTACCCAATCCAATACCCATCTGGCTGTCTGTTAATTCATTCCATCATGTTACAAAGGCTTCTGATATTACAGCACTGGGTGACTTTGACAAAGGTTCTGTAATATTCTAAGAAATAAAAAATAAATATTTTTCTAATTCTTTCCCCCAGTTTCTAAACTGCCATAGAATTGAAAGAATTGTCTTGATATTTTCTCTGAGGCAT